ATCATCTCTTCCTCTCCAAGACAGAACAGCTCTTCTTGCAGACATTTTGCAAAGGCTCATTCTCAGCAAGGTCCCTCTCGGTTTCCTTCCACATTGGTCTAGATACTTCATGTCTGATTTAATGTCATTGTCATAACTACTAGTAACCACATTTTAGAGAGGAGGAAATTCTGGTATGATGAAATTTTCTGCATATAATTATTAGAACACACACTATACAGAGAAATATATCAAATACGTAAATATAACGAGGAGTCCCCTCACCTTGTCACCACTGATATTTTGGGCAGAGGATTCATTGCTTTTAGAAAGGGTGCAAAATGTAGCCCTGTGGCTCAGTGGTCACAGTGCCTGTCTTATAGCAAGGACGAAAAGAAATAACAGAGAAGAGTCCTGTACATAACCTTTAAAACTTGCCTTTTGTTTTTTTTAAAAAATAAGCATTTATTGGTTTTATTGTTTGAAAAACACCAAAGAAAGAACATTTCAAGAGAAAAGAAAGATCACTTTTGTGTTCTCAGCAGCCATGTCACATTACTGGTTTATACTGAGCTCATGATTAAACTTTACTAGCCTTCTTTTACATAAATCATTTTGTTTCCTCAGACCTGTATTTATAAAATTAATTTTTCAAAAAATACAAAGCTGGGCTGGGAATTTAGCTCAGCGGCATAAGCGTCTGCTTGGCAAGTATCAGCTCGTGAGTTGGATCTCTGGTACCAAAATAAACAAAAAATAAAAAAAAATACAAGGTGTTATAGTTAATCTGGGCTAAATTTCACATTCTTTGTTTTGGCCTTGCATTTTAAACTGACAGCTGTTTTCTTGAACTTAACTCTATCATACAATTTACACAAATTATCTAATCCAGTTATCACCTGCAAGCCAGGTCATGGTATTTAAAAGCTAATGTAGTACTGTTAAGAAAAGGACTAAGTATCTCGGCCTTACTCCACTAGAAACCTCCTGCCTTCAAGTGGTAACGCATTATAAACACAACTCTAAATTGTTCCACCAGCCAACTGTCACTGAACCTAGCCATCTGCATGGCCCCCGATCCCCAACAGGGATTGGTATTCTCTAGGGTCTTGGTCATAAATTAAGGTTCTAGTCACCCACTTGACAGTCCCTTATTTTTATGCTGCTGAAATTAGTGACAACCATAAAGTGATTCTACACACAGAGAAAAATAAATTGGAGCATAAAAAATCCTACCTAGAACACAGGGTGGGAGCAGGAGATGCCTGGTTGGGCCCGTATTTACGTTCACTAAAAACACACATGAGTTAAGTAATCTCTTTTACTCTGTAAGTGTCTGTATAAAGAGCATTAAATTGATACATTTATGTAAGGGAAAAGTTAAAATTTGGGAAAACAGAAATAGTTCTTACAAAATTATCTCATTTTTGCAAATCAAGCTTTTATCATTCACAGTCTTCTGGAACTAGGTCCATGCACTTTAGCTTCTCAAAAGTTGCAAACAGTGGTTGCGCATTGATAGAGAGGGATTTCCCTCACGGCCACCATGCTATATTTTGACTTTGAAGTATATATTATCTTCTACCAGTACCTTTCTTCTCTATCTGTTTCCTTCAGCTTCTACCTTGTTAAACAATGAGTTTTCAGACTTTGAGAAGTCTGTGATCTCACTCAACATCCTCTGTACACGAGGTTAGGCCCCTATACAGTTCTAAAAATAGCCCAGAATGGTGGATGGAGTATCTGGCATATGAAGTATCCCAGAAAATTGTACTTGCTTATTTCCTTTTCTGGCCCCTCTACTATCTTTAAACTCTGGAACTCCAAATGACTGAGTCTCACTTGTTCAACACCGTATACAGAATGTGGTAGATACATAGCTACTATTTGATGAATGAATGAAGAGATGAAACTGAATTAATACACTTAAGCCAGATATTTTGTGACTTCTTTCCTTTATTAGGCTTCAATTTCTTTTAAAATAATTGCTCTAAAATATCTTTCCCATTAGAACATAATTTTCCTGAATGGCACAAGCTTAGCAGGACTGACGCTGGAGATCTGTTCTCTCTCAGTCACCTATTAGCATTGTACCATCTGTTCCAAGCAGAGCGCCTCTCTTTCCTTCTTTGCTCTAAATACAGCTATAAAGGATCTTTTTTGTGGTCGTTGGCACTTTTTGCAAGCCTCAGCTCACTGTGGGCATCACCCTCCAGAAATCATTACTATAAATTTGCATATTCATCATTATTTATGTTCTACTCCTTTCATGTCTTATATACGTCATTTTCCAGCTTGAGCTCATCAGATAACCTCTCAGCAATCACACAGTCACAAGAGGTTTTGCACACAACACAACTTTCCTTTTTTATCAGAAATGTTTAGTAGCCTGTATTGCCTCTATATTGTCAGAAAATTGTTTATAGAAGATACGAGCTTTACCTTCTTAGATATGGCCTTTGGTCATAGAATAATACTGTTTTTTTAATAAGTATTTCAAATTACTTTGCTAAAACTTGTGATCAATGTTGTTATTTTTGACTGTTTTTCATCAGAAGTTCATATGATTTCTAACCACTTAGACTTTTTTTTCCTATTTATGCAGTTGATTTGCAAAATCAAGATGATAGAGACTATAATTTTGTTTTGTTCATGTGTTTTACTCAATTAATCTCTCTCTCTTCCTTCTTTTATATTCCTCATTTTCTTCCTGTCTTCCTTCCATCTTCTTTTCTTTCTTTCTTTCTTTCTTTCTTTCTTTCTTTCTTTCTTTCTTTCTTTCTTTCTTTCTTTCTCAGGCTGGAAACCAAAACCAGGGCTTTGCATATGCTAGGCAAATACTCTACCACAGAGCTATACCCCAAACCATACTTGAATAACTTCTTACTAAGTACTTATTAAGTTTCTCAACCTGTACATCAGAGATAAATGTTATTCACATCAACTTTCTAGTTCTCTTACATAATAGTTGTTGAACACAGGAGTTCTCAACCAGAGCTATTTTGTTCTCCCAGGGGACATTTGGCACTGTCTGGTGACATTTTGATTTTTCACAGCTAGAGAGAATTGCTAAAGACATACAGTTGGCAGAGGCTACTAAACATTCCATCAGAAAGAGTTATCCAACCCCAAAATGCCAAGGTTAAGAAGCTCTGGCAATGAAAATCCTGTGAAGGCAACAGCATGTCATAATTGCTACTGTATACCTGGTACCTAGCCCTGTATGTGGCGCATGGTGGGGATATAGTAAAGGTTCACAAAAAGGGTAACTGAAGGAATTAATATAGTGCTAAACAAAGGTCTAAAAGCTGCCTGAATTCAAATGTCAAGAGGAGAATTACAAATGATAAAGAAATCATAGACTGAAGCACACTTATTAACCATTGTTCAGTACCCTGTGCCCAGAAAGGTCTCTCATTAATAAAAACAGAGAGAAGCAAGTAATTAAGTAGCTTCAAACATAAATAACCAATGGGAACTGGGCAAAGTTTAATAGTGTTGGGCAGGGAGTGGAGGGAAGGAAGCCCTTGTTTGTAGTGTTTGCTAAATACTACTGTGGCTCTTTTCAAGCTACCAATATCACTCAACTAGGACTTGGGAAGAATAGTTTATTCTCAGCTTTCAAATAAGCCAGGATGCCACTGGCTTCACCGGAGCCCTCTGTTTGCCTTGTACCATCCCATTTACCCTGTGATTTACATCTTACCTTCAGATGCCCTCTCCAAACCCTGATGGTAAAATATTCAATATTAGACTGTATCAAATCTAATAATAGAATCAAAATAACTATAGTTGACCTGTAGGGTCCTTGTGAGCATGAAAAGTCTGTAAAATATTTCTAGTCTGTGACTTTAAAATACTGTGATTTAAAAATACTCTGATTTTGCTGTGAGTCCTTTAACGTTCTGAAAGAAAATGCCAAAATTGTGTCTAGAACATCTTCAAACCATGTTATGGTAAACTATAGATGCTGACTAGTAAGAGTACAAGTATAGGGGCTGGGGATTTAGCTCAGCAGCATAAGCACCTGCCTTGCAAGCAGGCGGTCGTGAGTTCAATCTCCGGTACCGATAAAAAGAAAGAAAAAGGAAAAACATGAGTACAAGTATAATTATGCATTAAATAAATAAATAAATGTCCTAAAAGTTATGAACTCCCTCAGTTTACTTTCTTTGATGACTAATTCAGTGAAATAATCTATTTTATTTTGTTTTTATTTGGAAATGTGGCAGAAACAGGGAGTTCATGCTTTGGTTAGTCATACTAATACAGAGACCTCCTTTCACTCCATACACAACATATCTTAAGCAAATAAAAGTTCATTTTTAATGCCATGAAAATTGTTTGCATATTTTTTGTTATAACAAATGTTAAATGGAAGAACTATTTTACTAACTTATTTTTAAATTCAGTAAGCTTATAAACTTTTGAGCTCAAAAGAAATTGTGAACTATCAAAGGTTATTTACCTCCTTGATTTTAAAAACATGCTAGCACATTTCATTTGCTTTTCCATTTAAATAGACTTTAACCAACAAACATTGGTAGTTATGCACTTTGTAACCTTAGTGAAATGCCCAGAATTCCTTTCCGTTTACTGTTTGGAATATGGGATAATCATGGGTGATGTGCCTGTGAGAGCAGACGACAAGCAGTAACATTGTTTGCATTTTTTTCACTATATATAATTTTTATGAATGCATATTAACTTTACAAAACACAGTGGTACCTTTTTGTACAAAACTTAATTCATTCCACAAGTCTAGAAAAGATAGCCACATTCATGTTTGTGTGGGAAAGATGGCCATAACTGTATCTGTCACCAGATACAGAATTCACAAGCAAAAATAAAATTGTGCTGAACACTCCTGTTTGCAAACCAATTCATAAATAAAACATCTGTCATGTGCCACTGTATTGAGTTTTATTATGATATTTTCATGTATGTGCATAACGTATTTTGACATATCCATTCCCCCATTATGCCCTTCTTTCTTATAGCCATCCCACCCATCTTCTGACCTCAATCAGTGGTGGAATTCACCTCCACTCAGGGTTCCCCAATTCCTGTTTCCTCTCCTCTTGGTTATTCTATCCTGGAACAAGATTTATAGGTCACTCTTTGTGAAGAGTACCAGCTTCTTCTGTAGATGTCTTTTGGAGTCCAAGCTGGAAGAAGTGAAAAACATCACAGGATCTAGTTTGCCTTCATAGATTCCAGATTGTTTTGTAAGCATCTGAGTTAGCATTGCTCACTCTTACTTCATATATCATCTTTCTTTCCAATTATCACCCCTTGCCTTGCAAACACAAGTCCCTCACCAGACCCAGAAGCAACAGTCTTCGATGGACTTCAATAGTTCACTAATGGCTTCTCATTCACAGTGGGTGAGCCCTAACAAATACACTGTTTGGATTATTGTTGCTTCACAATTGTTATCTCCCCTTAACATGTAGCAGTATATACCTGTTGGAAGACTTGTTTGAATTCGAATTGATACAGCAGATTTTTACATGTGCTGCTTCATCGAGGTTCTCTCCTCTTATTGTAGAGAAATGCATACCTCTTAGAGCTTGGCCCATACTCTTTCATCCCCTTGCAGAGCAAACCTACACTCAATTTTTGGATGTTCCATATCCTCATGCGTCTCTTTACAAGACTGGTATCCTTAGCTATACGAATGTGCTTGGCTGTCATCTGAGAAAGGACTTTACGTGTTAAAAAGTCAGAGCCGCAGAAGTGATCCTCAAACAATTAACAGATGGCAGTCAGTGGGTAAGTTTCCCCAGTTCTTTATCCTTCTTCAGGATAATTTTGAAGTGTTTTTCACTCAGTTTTAGCGAGGTCCCTGCCCCATTGTCCTCTGTGATCTGCTGCATATTACAGCACACTTTAATTTTTCTCTCTTTCCTTCCTTGTAATTTTCCACTAGCATGTAGCACTTTTCAGATCATCACCCAAATTATACTCAAATCTTTCAGAAACTGCTTTTGGTGAAATTTAAACCAATGTAACCTATAGCTATCTTTGCATTTTGTTTTTTAAAATAATATATTCTTTTTTGGAAAATACAGGATCCATTTTCTCAGACTGGGCCTCACTGTGTTACCTAGTCTTTGCCCTCAATCTCCTGGATCAAATGATCCTTTGATGCTCCTACCTCACCTGCTACAGTAGATGAGACTGCAAGTGCACATAATGTCCATCTTGTGTTTTAAAGTCATCATTTCACCGTAGTTTCTTACAGAAAATTTAACAGATTTTCCAACATTTTATAAAGATCTGCTTTATATTCCTCCCAAAACTCATAATCTATGTGTCAACCTTGCATATTGACTTTAGAATTACAGAAGCACTAAAACTTTTTACACATGTAGAGTGATCAGGCCACAACTACTTGCAGGAAAATAGAACTTGATAAGGTGGTAAGAGCCATGTGGAAAACAAAGCATATACGTGTGCCTGTCTCCTGCTGTATAACAACTAAATTTGTGGAAAGGCTGAGTAGGCAAAGTCAGCTTGAATTTCTACTTTTATAATATATACTGTATCATGTTTTTGTAAACATATTTACTTGATTTGCTTATCTTTTAAAAAATATTATGTAAGAAATAGATGTTTTGGGTATCTTAGTTCTTATTCCAAATAGAAAACAAGTCAGAAGCATTTCATCTATTTCTTTTCAATAATATCAAGAAAATTATTATTATGGAGAAGTCCATAATGAGGGATAGTATACTAGTCAGCTTTTATAAACACCTAAAATAATCAACTTACAAAGAAAAGGCTTATGCTCACTCACAGTTTTGGAGATTTCAATCCATGATTAGTTTTCTCTGTCACTCTTGGGCCTGTGGAGAGGTAGCGAATTGTGTCAGGTGTGATAGAGGAAGAGTATTCATCTCACATTCAGGTGTGACAAAGACAGGAAAAGGAAGGAAGTGGGACCCCCATGTCCCCCTCAAAAGTGCAACCTAACTTCCTCCCACCAGATCTCAGCTCTTAAAAATTCTACTAACTCCCAGCATTATCAAAGGCAGGAAAGCAAGCTTTCAACACATGGACATTTGGGGGATCCTTATGCAATCCATAGCAGTGAGGTTTGAGAGAACAGTTTGGAACAGCAATTATATATGCTATTCAAATATGTATTCCTTATTTGCTTCTTGGTTTCTGAACTAAATGACAATTATAATAATTTTATTACACTAATAGAGAATGAAAGGGAAAGAATCAGTCACAAGGTAGTTGATGATCCGTAAAATATGATTGTGTTGGGGAAACCTGCTTTGGAGGTCAAATAACAACATGTCCTAAGTGAAACAAAGACTCCCGGGGAGAGTCAACACCTTAATTGCAGATGAAATGTTGAAATCATCATTTAACAACCCAGCACACATCCCAAATACTTCTCATGTAAGTAGAAAGGAAGCTTTCTATGTTTTTAATCACATTTTAGCAGAATAAATTAACCAACCTATATTGGAAGACAGAAATTGATAAACAAAAGCTATCAATGTGCTCATTTACAAAAATAGAGCAATCACAAATGTTGGTTCTGTTTTCTAAGAAGAGATTCTAACATTCTTTAAGCAAATTCCCATGTATAAACAATTCAGCAAGAAAGCTCAAAATAAATGTTTTTATTATTGAAAGGATATCACCAATGAAAATAAAAGTAAACTTAGCTTACAGTTAAAGATCAATAGTTATACATGTGTAGATAAACCAGTAATTTTCCCCTTTAAATAACTAAAACAATTGTTTCATATGTTTTTGGCTTCTTTTGAACAATGGCCATTACCATTTTCCCTTCCATGAAATATAATAACTCTATTTACAATGATAGTAATAAAATATGATCTTATTTGAATAAGTAATAATGTAATAGTAAATAAATTTTATTAAAATAAAACAGTAATAATGAATATGATTTTAAGTATATCACTGGAAATCATTTGAAAGTAGCGTTTTGAACAGTAGGAGAAAATCAAAACTATTGTATTAGATTGTATCATATTATGGATATTCATGAATTCACTATTTGCCTTTTAGAAACTGTTGTAGTCAGGGGTTGTGAAGAGAACAATTAGCATCAGGACACAGAATTTATAATCTTATTTTATGATGGTCACCCCAAGTTAAACACAGAAAGTACAGGAAATCTGTCCACAACACTAAAGACTCAGAATATTCAGCCAAGGTCTTGGGTCCCACAACAATGCCCTGCATGACTCCAAATGAAAACCTAGAGCCCAGGAAAATGCCTCACAAGATTCCAACTGGAGGTCTAGAGCCCATATGAAGGACTCACACCAGTCTGGTTTACAGATCCGTGCTGGAAAAGTCCAAAGGTCAATGGTGAAATCTTGAAAGTCTATGCCAGTGGGCTAAAGGAGCTGTGCTGGTTGGTTGAGGGTTCCACCCTGGAGCCCAGAAGTCATGCTCAAAACAAAGACCAGTGCTGTCCTGAAAAGCACCACAGTCATCCTCAGTGACAGAGAGGTCCTGAGCTCCTCTGAGGATAAGAACAGTTGAGTATACCAGGAAGCCAGCATGACGAGTTTGTCCTGGAAATTAAACAGCACACATCTTCCCCTCCGGAGTCCGGAAGTGATGCTCCATGTAAGGACCAGAGCTCTCTGAAAGTGAACCTCAGCCACTCTCACCAACAAGGTCCCAAGCTCCTCTGAAGACAATGGTCTAAACTCACTCTGGGGAAGCTAGTCATGATGAGCTCCTACAGGAGAACTAAGGGCTCAAAACAGCAACACTTAGAGAAACCAACAATGCCTCACTCATCTTCTCTACGTTTCTATTTACGCTGGCAACTTTCCTCAGGTGGAGCATCTTCACTCAGAATCATGTTGATTTAATTCAGCTGGTGTTAAATTCACCACCAGGTTTTAATCCATAATAGAAACCAAGTGCTCAAAATGCAACTCCAAACTCCCTATCGCAAAGTGCCAACACTGCAATTAAACCTGAATACTTAAGCTTTTAATCTAGGAAAAAAAAAAAACAGCTATCATCTGATGTGTGACTTCTGGGATGACGTGGCTTACATGCCTAAACAAAAGACCTCTGTATTTCACCCCTACTTTAGAGTTTTAATTCAGTGGCCAACTATAATCATGCATATCAAAAACACTTTCTGTAACGTGGAAGTGAACTTTATTTTTCAAGAGAGAGAGAGAGAGAGAGAGAGAGAGAGAGAGAGATTCCAGTACAACTGGAGTGCACTAAGTGTAAAAAAAATTATTTGGGAGATGCCCTTGTAATTGCTCCAATTTTAATTTATAGTATCCATTTATTATTTTCTCTGTTTTGCTTTCTGATGAAAGCTTTATGCTTTGCAGAAATTCAGTGCAATGAGGCAGGTCTAGTATTATTTTTTGTTATGCTGGGTAAGTATCCAATCTGTGTTTTTTTTTTTTTTTATGCTAAGTTATTGTTTTAGATGATTCTCAGTTGTTCCTAATACTATAGCTCACTCTTGCAGAAATGTATGCAAATGTTTTTATTTGCTGAAAAATGGAAGAAAAAATCATATATTATGCTGCTCTTGCAAAAAAAATCATTAAATTTTGCCAGAGGCAAAATAGTTGATCTTTGCCATGCTGTTGTATATGAGTACTAATTTCCCATCAAGCATTGTCCTGTAATAAATAGAAAGGCCCTTGTTTGATGCCAAAAGGCAGATGACTTTGATAATGCAGCAAGATTACCTCTATTTCTTTAAAAGATCTGTTTAAGGGAAACATGTCTATGGTTTTTTAAAAAAATACCAAGGATATGAGTCTTCCTTGGGCAGATTTAATTGTAACAGTAATTAGATGATCATCTCATTCACTAATTAATTATAGAATCATTCAGTGATAAAGTTGAAAAAGACCTTGAGAAATCAGCAGAGCCAGTACCTATACTCTGTGTGGGCCACATATAAACTACTCTAGATCTAAGGAAAACTGTCTTATTTTTCAAACCAAAAATTTCACCTAGAACCTTCTTTCACATCCTAGTCCAGGAATGAGAAAATCTTCCATTTATTTATCATTTTCACAGTAGCCTGAGAATAAATCTGATACTCTCAGTCAGTCCCTGTTACTTTCTTTCCCCTAAAATTGTTACCTGTCTAGGTTAAATACACTTACTGCTTCAAATGTATAAGCAGCAGTCTTCTTTTCTTACATTTTAGTTGCCATTACTTATTCCAAATTTTCTTAAAATGTTCCATATTTTCTGTTATTTCCAGAACTTGTGCTTTGAAAATGTAAAGCTCTGATGGTGGCAGAATAAAAAAAAATAACCTCTGACAAAACCTACGTCATTGCCAAATTATGTAGCACAAGAAATTTGGTTTAATGTCCATTCTTCCCACTTTAAATAGCAGCAATGGAGGTTAACTTCACGTACCAATTGTATTTCTAATTGTCACAATTGCATGTGCCACCAGTATGCATGATTTATAATGTCACTATCAGCCATATATTGGACTCTGAAGAGTTGATCTAGATACAAACAAGTAAAATATTTGTAATGTTAAGTAGAGTTTAGCTCAGCAGCATAAGGGACTGTCTGGCAAGCATGAGGTCATGAGTTTGATTCCCAGTATAAAAAAACAAAACAAAAAACAAACAAACAAAAAAACCCCCCACAAACTTGGCTTGTAATATTCTTGTTGCCATAGATAGTGACAATGATAATGATAATAGTAATAAAGTGTATGTGTTTGTGTTAACTGTTATTTGCATCAATCATTATATTATTCCTGTAAAAAATTAAAGTATTACATTACATGGCAAAAATACTATTACATTCTTTCATCATAACCAGAAACAGTTAAACTAGAGTTTATCCAGTACATTCAAGAAAAAGCAACAGTGGCAGTGTAATTAGAGGAAAAAAGAAAACAGAGCAGATTATAAGTAGAAACAGAGATGAACTCACTCAGGTAGTATAAGTCCATTTATGACAATTAAGAATTTCAGCTTTTACTTTAAATAAGACAGGAAGCCATTGGAGAGACTCGAGCAGAAGACCGACATGATTTGGCTTTAGTATTTAAACATAAACATTCTTACATAAAATAAATAAGTCAAAAATAGAAGCAAGCAAATGAGTTACAAGGTTACTGGGAAAATTCAGATAAGAGATGAGGCTGACTCATACCAAAGTACTGAGGGTGTTGAGACAGTGGCAGAGTTTTTGGTATAGTGTGAAAGTAATACAAACAGAATTTTCTGATGATACAAAGTGAGAAAGAAGAAAGAAAGAAAGAAAGAAAGAAAGAAAGAAAGAAAGAAAGAACAAAGAAGCCACTAGGTTTAGGAGATGATTGAATTGGAAGCATTAAATTCTCATCTGAAATATATTTTTCATTCTTTATTAGAAAGACCATCTAGAAAGTCCCTTGTGTAAGTCAATCTAGAAATCAGAGAGCTCAAATCAAAATTTGGTACTTAATGCCAGAAGACTAGGTGAGATCATCAACAGAGTCAGTGTATTTAGTTAAGAGGTACAAGAAGTTCAGTGTCCAGAGTTAGAGAGATGAAAAGGAAAGGACATTAAGAGGAGAAAAACCAAGGAAGTGGGTTTTCTCAGGGAAAAATAGAAAAAATATTTCACAGGAAAAGGATTGCCTCGTCAAGTGACACTAATGGGTTGAATAACATGATTACTGAGAACATATTATTAGATGTACTAACCCGGAAGTCACTCATGATGTTGACAAGAGCTGAGTTTCTGGTTAGTGAGGACTCGAGAGGATTAAAAAAAGGAGAAACTGGAAATGCTAAATACTCTTTTGAGCTTCTAATAATGGTGAGCAGAGCTCTGGGATGGTAACTAA